GAATACAATTTAAAAGGGGAGTGATTTGTAAAATATCCATAAAGAAAAAGAAAATCTATTTACAGTTGTGTTTCATATGGGTGTTGAGAGATGTATCCATAGATCTCTTCATGTTGCTCTCAAAGTGCACCAGATTGATGCTTTCAACCTCAATATAAAAAAAAAAATCTAGGAGCTAGAGGAGGTGAGGACCCCCCTAGAGGAGGTGAGGTCCATCCCCCACTCATAAAAAAATAGCACTTTACCCCTGCCTATATGCCGTGAGCTGATTATGGAGCCTTCATTGTAACAGTAATTCAGATGCAATTAGCCTATATAAAAGGCCTCAAATTGGAAGCACTGTCTGGGCCGTCTTTTTCACTCAATTCTGCAATAGGTAGATCTCGCCTTTCACCTTGGCCGAGGTTGGTGATCGTGGGCTTAAAAAGGTAGGTGACCACTGCCCTAGAGGATGTGACGTCCACACCCCAATTCAAACATGTTCATACAATACCGAATACATTTGAAGCCTTTTTGATGTATATTACCAACATGTCAATACGTTTCTGTTTTTGTAGTGTATTGGTCTTTTGTAGAGATTTTTCATTTATTCTTTATATATTCTATTGTGTATTCCTTTTGATCTTTTCTACTGAACGATTTTCAGGCAGGGGGGGGGCCAGCTAAATTCTCGCCTAGGGCAGCAAATTGGTTAGAACCGGCCCTGATGGTGTAGGAAACGGGCTCCGTGTTACAAGACCGGTCGGGGGTTTGGCGGTACCACTGCAGACTCTCTGCACACACACACACACACCGCTGCAGACTCTCTGTACGAAGGAGCCACGGTGCTGCAGCTCCTGATCGGAGCAGAGACACACGTTCACTAAGCGGAAAAACTATATCCTGTCACAGAGATCTGCTATTTTAAATTGTAAAGTCAACACATATTGACCCTAAATAAAGTCTATATTAAGAACGAGAGATGTTTTAACCGTATGGCTTAAACAAATGACAAATGAGCGAGGGTGATGACGTCAGAGCATCGTCCTATGTGCCGGGGCTGAGCCCCGGACAGCCCCGGCCCAATTTAACCCCTGGTTAGAGGCCCTATTTTATCAGTATGTCTGGACTGCACAGCAGTTACAATGGTCAAACTACATTAGAACAGAATTGTCCCCATGTTGTCTTTAATAGTTACTAACATTAGTTATTTTAATGAGGTATGGACCGCAAAACAAAAAATGTCCCTGATTTTCATTTTTAAAAATCAAGTCACCGAATGCAAGTCGCCTCAATTACTGTTCAATTTAGTTGATGTAATAATCGTTTGGTTTCTTTTACATTAAAAACAAGTTACAATTTTCAAAAGGTCTTGTGTTTTTTTTCGGGGGGGGGCCCTTTTTCCAGTTTAGAGTAATAGCCCCTCCAAATGTCTGTGCACGTCCCTGTACCAGAGTGCTTGTTGAAGTTCAGGGATTATAAAATTGGCCAACTGTAACCGGAAACGTACCTAAAATTAACGTTTTATCGGCTTATTTTTTAAATTGTTATTGCATGACTCCTTCAAATATTATTGCAGATCAGCTGTAAGCTAGCTAGCTAACCTGGCTAAGCTAGTCATTTCAAATACACTGACAAAACACTTACAAGCGTTTGTTTCGTTTATACAGCGCTTTTAATAAACTCTTTGCATGTTTCGTCAAATCGGTTAATATATTGCGGCACATGTGTTGTCAAGTTAGTACATTTGTTTCTTCATTTGCATGATTTAGCACATTTGTGTTTTCATTTTTTTAAACAAAAAGTGTCTTAAGATGTCTGTTTGATTTTTTCTCTGTCTGTTAAATTATCTGCATATGTGACCTGCTCCATCGAAATCAGTCGCATTGACCCAAAGACACATTCTGAGTTGTATACACTCTTGGAAAGAGGAGATTCCTCGCTTTCTAATGATATCAGGATTGTTTTTGTACTCCAAATATGTCACATTATATAATGACTGTCACCGAGTCATCATTTTGAGAAAAAGGCCTTCAAAGTTTCCTCTTCTCTGGAATCCATCGATCTGATTGATTATTAGCAAATTATCAAAATACTACGGAGGGAAGATATTTTGGTTTGGATTGCTGGTCTGGGGGAAGCTCACGAGTGTGTGTGTGTGTGTATTGTGTTTGTTTCCCGGGGAAAACCCTCACGAGAAACACCGGCTGTTGTTATGCCTGCAGTGACGTCAAGTTACTCCGTTCTCCGCTTGTAATTATGCCGAAGCTTCAAAGTTGTATTTATCATCTGAATTTGCTGAAACAAGTTTCATATTCTGAAAGCCAAGACTTTGTTTATTTGAAATCAGATGAAAACAAACTGTAACGGACCCTGCTGTGTTATCTATGATCACTATACATCTTACATTCATAATTTCAGCCGGAGGGAGGGGGGGCGGCGCTGCGGAACAGCAGAGTGGCGAATGAGAGGTGCCTGTCTTCGTCCCTTTACAAGCTTCAAAAATGTATTTATCGTGTGATTTTGGAAATAAAAGTTTCATATTCTAAAAGCCAACACTTAGTTTATTTAAAATCAAACAAATCACCCGAACCCCGGAAACAAATCCACGTTTATTTTGAAATGAGCCGTTGCGAATTCCGACTGATTTCAATAGAGCGGGTCACATACATACAACCTGTTTTACTGTTAATGTTTCCAAAATGGAAATTAACAAGGCATCTTTTTTCCCTATAGCATAATTTAAAATGATGTAAATGTCAAATAAATCCCGGCCTGCATGTACACAAGGTTGAATCACTCTTGCGCTACATCAGTTGCTAAGTCACATAGCTGACATTAATATGGAAATGTTAGGGATTATAACTTAAACATAGAGACAGAAACAGACACATGATGGCGACATTAAAGGGATACGAGGTGATTCATGCTGCTGCTGTATGAGTAACACATAACTGTCAACATAACAGTGATGATGACAGGAAGTGACATTATTATCCTCAGGGTTTATTTGCATGAAGACAAATCTCCTACACTCCTGACTCCATTCCGCTGTTAGTGTAAACTCAATGAGGTCATTGGGTGCTTGGTTTAATGATTCCTAGACGTCCCTTTTTTTTTCGGATATTTGCTAAAAATAACACGATTCCTCTTTCAGTTTGAGTGTTTGCTTTTTCTCATTTTAATTTTCATACACATGATGCAACTCACAGTGCTATGGCAAACAACAAGACAAACAGAACATAAGCAAATACAGGTCAAGCCTTAAAAGATATTGACACACATGTGTACAAGACAACATGAATAACTCAATATCAGTGGTGGAATGTTAGTCATTTACTTAAGTATTATACTTTAGTAATATTGTCACATATTTGACTTGAGTATTTCCATGTAACGCTACTTTAAACTTCTACTTTTCAGACTAAAACATTTTATGTTTACTCCACATATTTTAATCAACACCATAGACTGTATATATAAATGGACGTAGTGTCCGTGACGTCACCCATAGGATTCTGCAGAGTTGCTGTGAAGCCCTTAGTAGGCGGAGTCGGCCACTAACGGCTCGACTGTGACGTCAGAGTCTAATCCCGCCTGCTCCAAATAAGGGCAAAGAGGCGGAGCCGAGGCGGGACCTGCTGCCTCCGAACTGGAAGTAAACAGAGCTAGCTCAGGCTAAGAAGCTAAGCTAACATGAAATACATGCATACCAAGTTACTGCTAACAGTGTAGTTCCCCTATATAAACGTTACATTCATAATCAAATGAGACAATCTGCAAGAGAATTAGCTATATTTTGTTATTCTTAATGCTTGTCATTCACACGTTGAGAAAAGACGGACTCCACCGCCCGGACCTAACGGAGCAGCAGTGGGCTAGCTCCGGGACGCCGGCTGGAGCTAGCCCCCTGCGGCTCCGTTAGCTCCGGCGGCCACCACTGGGATAATTGGGTCCCCTATTAACATTTGCTCCCGTTTAGCATTATGAGCGTCTAGCCATAGACTATAAAAGTCTTACCCAAGGCTGAATCATAAACTAAAATGTATATGTATGCATAAAGGGTTACGTCCTTAGCTGGCTAATAAGTAACAAGCTAAGCTACCAAGCACACAAACACCTGCGAACGGGGTTAACATGTATAATATTATCATTTTAGACTTCTTGGAAGTTCTGTTAGTACATTCAAGCGCACAGCACGACATTTTAATTGTCTGGTATTTGTAACAATATTCCCTAAAAGGCACAATCACCACGAACACGGCTAAAGAGTCAAGTACAGTACTATGACTAACTAACGTTGTAGCCTCTATGGTTGTAGCCTAGCAGAGTGGACAAGTTGCTGTTAGCTGACAGTGAGGCATGTACGTGTTCATCAAAGTGACCACGCCCTAATTTATGCAAAAACTTTAAGACCTAATATAAATAAAAGGGTCGTGTTAGAAAACAATTCACTCACAGATTCATAATCATGAAGGTGGAATCTAACTATATCGATAATAATATTTATTGCATCCATGGGTAGAAACATGTTTTTTTCTGCTGTAAAGTTGGGCATTTTAACATGGGGGTCTATGGAAATTTCTCCTTTCTGCAGCCAGTCCCTAGCGGCCCATGTATGAACTGCAGTGTGTGGCACTTCCGTATTGGCTTCCCGGCTGTTCCCCAGAGTTTGCCGCTTGATCAACACTCAGAGTTAGTAGCTATTTTGCACATATAAAAACAATGATGTGCCAATATGATGTCTACTATAATTCTAATCTATTCAGGATTTTAACAACTAAATGTCGTTCTTCAGCTCATTATTGACAAACGAAAAAAGTATGAGGGACCACACAGTCTGCGTGATCTGCATGTAGGGAGGGGCAGGCCTGGGTATTCTGCCTATTTAACAACTTTTACTTGAATTCAGGACTTTTTTCTTCTAACGGAGTATTCAGACACCTTATTATTTCTATTTTTATTTGAGTAGAGGATGTTCGTCTTCACCGTGTGTGTCAGTGTGTTTGTGCCGATAGTACCTGTCTGCAGGCCCTCCTGGCCTGATGTAGGTGACCACTAGGGGGCGCGACTTGTGCCAGTCTTCATGTGAACCACCTGCAAGAAAAGCAAAGGTTGAAGCTGCACCTTCGATATTTATTTCAACATTTAATTCATTATTCTGAAACCTTTCAATCCTAAATACTGTGAAGTATGAGTACTTGTCAAAAATATTCTGTATCAAAAAATAAGCTTAACAAATTGTTGGCAGTAAGGGGTTAAGCTACCTATTTCTAAAAATGAAAACCTCACAAATGGATGTATACACCAACAGGACAAATAGGAGAAATTAATGGTTTTCTAAACGCGAATCAGGTCCACATTTTTTTTTTTTAATGTCATCAGAAATATAAAGTACACATTTTGTATTCAATTAATGCCTCATTAAAAAAAAGAAGATATTGTTGTTACCCAATAATAATCTAAGTGTGCCACATTTACTAAATTATATCAGAGAAAATAGACTTTTACAGCTAAATTTTCCTTTTTTAATAATAAATAATGCATTGTAATTATAATTGTTGCATATCACTGACATTAACAGTGGAACAATAAAATACTTCTCCTTGAGTCGTCTTTTTGTATTGCTGGATGGTTACCTCTCATCACGAATCCAAAGCTGTTCCCCTCCTTGTGCAAACAGATGTCGATTGTCTTTGATATAACCCCTGAGGTGCTGTCTGGAGCTGTGAGAGAAGGTAAAGAGAAAAATAATTTGCTGCTAGCTGTTAAGTATTTCTAAGCATAATTTACTTCTATTGCTCCATTATTGTGAGCAATTAAGGTTTTTGTTCTCCTACACAAAGTTTAACATCTTGCTAATGAAAAGTTTAATATCAAAAAAGGAACAGATGTTGATTGATGATGCCTATAATCTTCTTTATTGCGGCTACTTATATTACAATCATATTATCTCAAATTGCACTTTAGTAAAATACAAAATAGAGGGACAATCATTCTATTCTCAAGAGCATATTGCGTCTGACAAACCTATACAGACAGTATTTTTCATTGAAATGAATGAGTAGACTTTATTTTCGTGCCCAGTATCCTAGTGTAAGATGTTCATCGTAAAACAACCTACGGTGGCCGAGAGGTGCAAACGCATCACAGCGGCCAAAAAACATTCCCACTCCCAGTGTGAGTTTCAAAAAAGTTACAAATTATAATGACGAGTCAGAAATAATTACAGATCTTGCAAACCTAGCTAACCTAGTAATGTCAGCAGGAATCGTTGGATCACATTGTTAAAATAAGCCAATAAAACATATATTTTAGGTAACTTTCCACCAACAGTGACAATTATAATCCCCCAAATTTCAAAATGTTCTCCGGCCCCAGCTGTTATCACTTTTAACTGTCCTCGTTTCCATTGTTTTTTTTACGTCTTGCAGCATTTTCTCATTTGCAGCATTTTTTTCAGGGTGAGTGAAGCAGGCAGGACCCAAATGCAGAATAAACAGAAAATACCTTTATTTCAAGGTTTCAAATAGGAACAAACAGAACACTACCCCGCGAACACAGTCACAGACAAACAAGGAACTAACAAAGACAGACAGAAAAACCAGAACTTAAATACACACAAGACTAATCAAAGAAACAAGAGACAGGTGAGGAGGGAGGAGAAAACACAGGGGGCACAAGGTGAACACAATCGGGTAATCAGACAGGAGGGAACACAGACAGAAAGCAACAGGCAAGACAGGGGGTGAACACTTTTCAAAATAAAACAGGAAACCAAAGACAGAAAAAGACAAAACAAAACACAGACAGATCGTGACAATTTTGTATTTTCAGCGTTTATATTTTCATCCGAATGGAAATGTTTTGGCCCGTTTTGGCGTGTATGCTCTTGTCAGCCACCGTACGTTTCACACCAACATTCAGTGCTGTAAACATTATATTTCAGGAAAGACTCTGGTCAACCCCTCCCCCCAGAAGACACAAACATTTTGAATTTCCCCATCCTCACATCATTCCTCATCCTGTAAACCTTACACATGTGTGGTCATTGCTATCTCTTTAAAAATAACATAGCTTTTTCCATTGAAGTTCTGAACAACTGTGCATATTGTAATCATTTGTCATTTTTTGTTTTATTTTTTTGAAAATAGTGATTTTAATAGTTTAATATTTGCTTCTTTTTTTCACAACGTATTTCCTCTTATTGTGTTGATACTGTATATGCGCCATTATATATTTTTTCCACAAGCACATCTTCAGTACATGTGTGTGTGTGGAGCTGAAGTTATGTACCTGTAGGGGGCAGTTCGTACTCCACCTCCAGCAGGACTCTCTCCCCGACGTTCTTCAGTAAACTGATGATCTCTTCGTGCCGCAGTTTGGTCAGATTGATGCCATTCACAGACTTTATGTAGTCACCCACATTGAGCTGGTCACTCCTGCACAAAAAAAAGTAACAAAGCATGGACAAAAGTTGGTATGAATGACTTTGGATTTAATCACATGTTAATGAAACAATCAGAGATACATTAAAATGTTGCAGGTACAGTACAGCATATTTTCCAATAGGCACTCATCATTTTCACTTTAGCTTTTTAATGTCAGATACAAATCTTTATTTCATCTCTTTTTATTGGTTTTTAGACCGCTTTTTAAAACAAATTATTGTGTTTATACAAACAGCTTTATTTTTCAATTTTCATTGAACATTTTTACTTTGCATATTTTATTTTGGGTTTAATCACTTTACCTACACATGGCTGCTTGTCATATAAATAAATGTATCTGCAAATACTTCTGCTATTTTCCCATATTGAGAATATTCTATTACTTATATATCACTGTATTTATTTTATTGTACAGGTTATATATAGTAGTTAACGTTTATATACATATTTTTTTGTATTGGATTTGATATTTCTTTGGGCATTTCACTTCTTAAGTCTATATACATCTTTATTTATTTTCTTTTTTTTATCTTAGTATGGCACACTTTTTTTAATTACACATTTTTATATGAATATTTGAAATGATATAATTTGTATTTATATCCTTCTATGGAACGGATGACACAGAACCCAAAACAAAAGTATTCTGAATGTGATTCTCTGGTGTTGCTCCCACCTGGCTGCCAGCCCTCCAGGCCGCAGGTTCGACACCCGGGGTTTCCCGTCCTTGTCTGTTCCTCCGGAGATGGTGAGGCCCAGCGTGCTGCCTTCCTTCTTCACCAGCTCCACCATAGTCACCCCCCGCAGAGCTTCTAACCAAAAACACACATACACATGAAGACAAATACAAACACACAAACAGGGACGGAAATGGACACACCCACACACACAGATGTGCAAACAGAAACACACACACACACACACATTCAAACAAACAGATACAGCAGAGAGGTGGAAAGTGGTTAGCGGCTTCTCTCTGTCCATTCTGATTGGTGGATTAAAAGGAAGCTGATTTACAGGAAAGATAAATGGAAAGCTGTTTGCTGCCGTGTGTCCTTGAATGACATCCCCCGTCCGCTCAATATGCGAGTCAGCTGAAATGACTAAAATGTAAATGTGTAGATCAGATAAGATAAGCATCAGTTAATGAGAAATAACAAAGGCTCGTGTTTCATGCTGTTTCTCCGCTTGGAAAGTTCCTGGCAGGGATGGAAGGCCTTGAAAGGTTAAAGCACATCATCAGTAACAGCAAATTACAACAGTCACTCTTCACAGTAAAGTATGTGTACTTCATAAGATATTCTTTATGACACAACAAAACACATAGCCCTAACTCTAACCCTAAGGAAAGGCATGTTCCTGTAGAGATTTGTTTTCACATAGTGTGGCCTGTATCACACTTAATTCTCCTTGTTAAATACCTGATTATATACCAGTGCATCGACAAGATGGGTACTTCATCATGTCTTCACCATGAGTCTGAGTCTTCATCATGTCTTCACCATGAGTCTGATTCTTCATCATGTCTTCACCATGAGTCTGAGTCTTCATCATGTCTTCACCATGAGTCTGAGTCTTCATCATGTCTTCACTATGAGTCTGAGTCTTCATCATGAGTCTGAGTCTTCATCATGTCTTCATCGTGAGTCTTCACCATGAGTCTGAGTCTTCATCATGTCTTCACCATGAGTCTGAGTCTTCATCATGTCTTCATCATGAGTCTGAGTCTTCATCATGTCTTCACCATGAGTCTGAGTCTTCATCATGAGTCTGAGTCTATATCATGTCTTCACCATGAGTCTGCGTCTTGATCATGTCTTCATCATGAGCCTTCACCAAGAGTCTTCACCATGTCTTCACCATGAGTCTTCGCCATGTCTTCACCATGAACCTGAGTCTTCATCGAGTCTTCACCATGAGTCTTCACCATGTCTTCACCATGAGTCTGAGTCTTCACCATGTCTTCACCATGAGTCTTCACCAAGAGTCTTCACCATGTCTTCACCATGAGTCTTTACCATGAGTCTTCACCATGTCTTCACCATGAGTCTTCACCATGTCTTCACCATGAGTCTGAGTCTTCACCATGTCTTCACCATGAGTCTTCACCATGTCTTCACCATGAGTCTGAGTCTTCACCATGTCTTCACCATGAGTCTTCACCATGAGTCTTCACCATGTCTTCACCATGAGTCTTCACCATGAGTCTTCACCATGAGTCTTCACCATGAGGCTTCACCATGAGGCTTCACCATGAGGCTTCACCATGAGTCTGAGTCTTCACCATGTCTTCACCATGAGTCATCAGAAGGTCCTTGGGCTCTGGAGGACATCCTTCTTCTTTACTGTTCCTGTTACACTCTGTCCCAGTGGCTACAAGGACTTTTATTGAGTGGAAACAAGGATCAAAGAATGGTGGAAAATAAATGTTTAAGTAACCAATGTGATATCTTTTTATGGGGCCCAAAATCCCTTGCGGCGCCCCTGGGTGTATCACAAAAAGCAACCACTTTCAATATGTCACATCCTTTATTGAAAGATGTTCTAAAGATCATGCTTATCATGTTAAAGTAAAAGGCAATATTAATCAGAATGATAATCTGAATTCTTAATTTTATCCTGGGGGAAGGTGTGTTTTGTGACAGTTGCTCCACTGAATTTTGAAATAAATTAAAATATACATACAAAAAAGATTAATAAGATATTTATATAAACACTTGTATATATGTATATAAAAAAATTAAGTTAGTGTACAATACAAAGAACAAGTAAATAAGGAAGTGTTATAAAGACTAGGGCTGTCAAGTTAATAACGCGTTAACGCAGCAAAAAATGAACGCCACTAATTATTTTAACGCAATTAACGCATGTGTATTTTTTTTCCTCGGCCGCCCCGTAGTTTCAGAGCGCATCTAGTTTAAAATACCATCTACAAGCTGATGCTGCCGCCCGCTTGCTGCAGACCACACTTACACACTCACCGGCAGGCACCGACTGGCCATCGGGAGGACCGGGAGTGTGTGTATGTGTGGCGCGAGCAAGAGAGAGAACGCGCACACCTTATGTGTAGTGTTGTTGTTAGCATCTGGTGCTAGCCAGCTGCGCTAACGGATATAAGGAGCTGTTTCAATGAAAACAGAGGAGCGACATTTCGCCGACAACTGCGCCGAGCACTTGACTTTATGCAGGAAGCCAGACAGTGGGACATTGTACGAAAAGTCAGCACACTCAGCACGGATAGTGCGCAACATGATTGCAGCGTCCAGGCAGCTCCCGTACGAGCATATGCCTTGAGTTGCACATAGCTCCAACGATCCATCACAGTGTCTCTCCACACACACACACACACACACACACACACACACACACACACACACACACCACACACACACACACACACACACACACACACACACACAACACACACACACACACACACACACACACACACAGGTGAGATGAAGCTTTGGTGTAATAGATGGTTAGATTAGTTAAATCCCTGAGGCGCTCTGAGGATCAGTGAGGTGCTTCATACCACAGCTGTATCTGGGGGTTACAACACACACATTACCTGCAAAAGGCACTTAATCATTCATTAGTGCCTGTACTGTTCATATTTGCATAAAAGTATTAAAGTTTTTACACGTGTAGTTTGAAGCCGATGGGTTCTTCTGAACTGAATCCCTTTCAAAATGAGTTATTTTATCAACAGATGCAGGAGTGAGTGTGTTGGGATTCATAACGTTTTATCTACCATTTCATTTTGATGCTTAGGAATACACAGGAGAAGATTGTACAACACAGACAGTAACTCGTGAAATGGTTTTTATTATCAAAACAGAGAACCGAGGAAAGTTATTTCACATCTAATGATGATCCGGGAAATGGAAAGATGTTATCTCTCTCAAACACACATGAAGGTATGGGGGGGGGAATGACACACATTTAGACAACATTGTAAGCTATTAAAGCAAAGTGATGCTTGAAACTATACATGCATAAAGATTGGTACAGAAAATATGAGGAAAACAGCAAAGAAGAAATAGAAAGAAGAAATAGAGAAATAGGATGGTGGACTCAATGGAGGCATTTGAACAAATTCATAAGGGAACATGAAAGCTTATACAGGTAATAGTGGAGGGACATTTGGGATTTTAGCCTTTGCAGACCATTTACATGCACACAAATCTACAAACACACTACAGGAAAGGGAAAACCCCAAATGCATAATAAGGCCTCTTTAAAGAAATTCTGATGAGAAAGAAAGTAATAATGATTACAGATTTAAAAAGCACAATTTGCATAAATGTATCATTCAGAAATATGAATACAAACATTTAAACACAATTCTCAAATAATACAGACATTTTTTGAGCTTTACTGTTGGCTCTCTTTAAGCCATGTGTCTGCTTGAAGGTTGGCAATGAAAGCAGCATAATTAATAGTGTAAGAATAATCATGCTCTTTTATTGTGGTATATTTCCTGTTTGCATTGGATGTTGGGTTATGCCATACTGTACTGCAGGGCTAGGGTTAGGCCCAGGCCCATTCCTATTTTAGACCCATTCAAGTTTATATGAGGAGAAGCACTGTCTCCTCTCCACTGTTTCACAATGACTGGCTGACCATTAGTTTACCATTAAAGGATATATTGTTTTCGTAAAGTAAAGTAAATGGGATATCGTAAAAAAAATACATAACATAAATAATGGTAAACGTCTCCAGGGCTATGGCAAGAATGATCAGAATGCATTTAGGGAACCTTTCAGAACAGGCACATTTAGTAGATAATAGATAACCTGAGACTTTGGGGTTATCACACGGTATCTGCAGACATAAGGTCACACTGTCATCAACATACAAAGTAGATCAGAATCAGATAGTGAACTAGAGTGAACATGATCTTGTTTGCACAGAAAGTTCTTTTAAATGCTTCAAACTCTTTGAGCAAATCACTTTCATCAAAATATACTACTTAGGCATTTGTCTGAGCCAAATCATGATAAGATCCTTATGATGATTCAGTGTGTGACAAAGTCTGTGTTATAGAGTTCACAGTAGTTTACTAAGCATTGGATACAGTAGATGGCTTTACCTGGTATACTGTGTCTTCTGGAGGCCATGGTCTGTTCTGGTCCGGAGATATCTTTTGTTTTTCCATATGGTCCGTCATCTACAAAAAGACAAACAGAAAAGCTTTAGAGTTACTGATGCACTTCTTTAATTTATCTCAGACTGGCAGGGGAGGACTGGGACACAAATTCAGCCCGGGACGTTCAGACGCACCGGCCCACACACCGGCCTACGCGTGCGGACCACCCTTGTAGCCTACAGATAAATTATACCTCTATGCTCATCATGGGCGGTGCCAGAGATTTATGTTGGGGGTGCTGTGGGGTAGCTTGCCGTTTCATAGAGGGTGCTCAAACATGTAGGGTTTCCCATTAATGTACCGGGCGCTACAGTTGAATTTTCTACTGCAACACTCTGCACATGCACAGTACACCCGCGACAGTTACAATGAAGGCTCGATAGTCAGCTCACGGCATATAGGTGTGGGCAGGGGTAAAGTGCTATTTTTTATAAGTGGGGGGTGGACCTAACCTCTTCTAGGGGGGTCCGGGGGCACACTCCCCCGGGAAGATTTGTTTTTAAATATTGAAGTTAAAAGCATCAATCTGGTGCACTTTGAGAGCAACATTAAGAGATCTATGGATTCATCTCTCAACACCCATTTGAAACAGAACTGGAAACAGATTTATTTTTCTTTATGGATATTTTACTAATCATTCCCCTTTTAAACTGTATTCTTGTTTAACTGTCATATAGCCTAGTATTTTATTTGAATATGTTCTGTACTGCATTTGTATTTATACACTGAATGAGGCAACATTGGGAGCATTGTCTTGATAACGTTGCAGAAACACCAATGCATTTACAAAACTAAAACAAAAAACTCTTAACCTCACTCTCTTTTACAATTCACATCACACTGATTTGGGTCAATCATATTGTGCTTTAATAATGCACATTTAGTTCCATAAGATAAAAAACACCTCATCTTTACCTCGCATTTCATCATAAATTAGAGTATCCCCCAAGCATTCCACTGATGAGCAAAAAAGAAGACAAAAGATACTCTCCTTTACGTGCTCTTATGTTTTTCTGTATTTACTGAAAAGCTTTCTGGCAGGTTCTTCCAAATAATAACCAAACTAGTGGCATGGCTGTAGGGAGGAGAACATTCGTCCATTATTCAGTTGGTCCAACATTGGGCCCAAAAGTGAAATATCTTGAATCACATTCTGTACAACATCCAGAAATGTCCAGAAAATTAGTCACAATGACATTGGTCATGTTTCATATATTGCCACAGAATTTCCTCTTGTCTGGTATTAAAATGTGACAAGGTTAGACATCTGAACATTTTTATAAATGTTTTTGTAATCTCCAAAACAACTTGAACAGATTCAGCCGCACTGGATCTCACTGCATAAAGAGCTGCTCTCCGTACATGCTGTGTGAATACTGAAAAACCTACCTCACATGTAATCTACTTAGCACCATCACAGTTACATCTACTACTCTGTATGTACAACCTTGTAAGCTGATTATGTACAAGCAAACGTTTGTTCAACTCCAATGCTGAATAACCAACCAATCAATCAGCCAGAACATTTATATATAAATTATTAATGAGCCATAGGCCTATAGGTAATCTTGAAGAGGCTAAGATGACAATAGAAGAAACAAAAACAGAGCCTGGGAAGGGTAGGACGAATTAAATCAATACAGAAAACAACAATATAGTCATGGAATGTAAGTATTACTATGCATTTCCCCAAATGTTACATTAAAAAAACAATGATAGTTGTGATCTAATTACTTTAAAGGTCTCCTATTATGCTATTTGTAGGCATATATTATGGGTCTCAGATATATAAAAACATGTCTATGATGTGTTTTGCTCAAAATACCAAACGGATCATGCATTTTAGATATCCCTCATATCCCTCTATTTCAGCCCTGTTGGAGAAACGCTGATTTTGGGTCCTAGCCAACACAGTCTCACTCCCTGATCGTCAAAGAGCGACGCTTGGTCAGGGTCCTTTGGCGTGCAGTTGTGACGCAACAAGTCTCCTTCAGCTTCATAAACGGACGCAAAGAGCTTTCAACTGATTGCAATGTACTCCCATCGGCGGCGGTATTTGACGCTCAGGGAAGCACCGCATCCGTCCATGTCGGCGGCTCTTAAAGGCAATGTGAGCGTCCATTCCCATTGGATAACGGAGAATTGTACACCCGGAAGTAAGAATTCTCCTTACTGTCGATTGATTTGACAGTGATATCTCCACTACTCATCAACTCAAAACACCAGATTATCCTTGTGATCGATCCGATCTACATTCAGAAAACACTCATTTAAAAAGGTTTTTCGCCTGCCGTCTTGTCTGCACACTTGTCAAAGCATTAAAGCATGGTTTTTACTAACCGTTATCAGTATTTAGTTACTTCGGCATAATTTTGAAACAGGAGCAGCGGGGGGTGCTGCGGGAGTGTCTGCGTGCGCATCTCTCCCAGACGAGCTGAACAGCTTTTTTGCACGTTTTGAGAGCAGCCAGGCTGGGGGTACAAAGAAGGATCAGGAGCCCTGCCCTTTTGTTTTAAACAGGGCAGATGTGTGTACATCCTTTAAAAGGGTTAACCCACACAAGGCTCCTGGACCTGATGGCATCCCTGGCCGTGTTCTCAGGGTGTGTGCAGTTCAGCTGGCAGAGGTGTTCAGACATCTCCCTGCTGCAGTCTGTAGTCCCCACATGTTTGAAACACTCCACCATCATTCCTGTCCCCAAAAAGACAAAAATCACCAGCCTCAATGACTACCGCCCAGTAGCACTCACCTCCATCATAATGAAGTGCTTTGAGCGGTTAGTCAAATCATTCATCACCTCCTCCCTCCCTGACTCTCTGGACCCCCTGCAGTTTGCCTACAGAGCAAACAGGTCCACAGACGACGCCATAGCCCTCACCATCCACACTGCCCTCTCACACCTGGACCAGAGGAACACATTATGTGAGAATGCTGTTCATTGACTACAGTGCAGCCTTCAATACCATTGTGCCCTCCAAGCTGGTCATCAAGCTCAGAGACAACAGCGCCCTCTGTGACTGGATGCTGAACTTCCTGACGGGCAGACCCCAGGCAGTGCGGGTGGGAAACATCACATCCTCCACCCTGATCCTCAACACCGGAGCCCCTCAAGGCTGTGTGCTCAGCCCTCTCCTCTACTCCCTGTTCACTCACGACTGCGTGGCCACACACAGCTCCAACACCATCGTGAAATTTGCTGACGACACGACCGTCATCGGCCAGATCACAGACGGCGACGAGACGGCGTACAGAGAGGAAGTCGAAAACCTGACATCTTGGTGCCAGGATAACAACCTCCATCTCAACGTCAGCAAAACAAAGGAGTTGATTGTGGATTACAGGAAGCAGCAGAGAGAGGGACACGCCCCCATCGCCACCAATGGGACTACGGTGGAGAGAGTCAGCAGCTTCAGGTTCCTTGGGGTCCACATCACTGAGGACCTGACATGGACTCTTCACACCATCACCAAGAAAGCTCGACAGCGGCTCTTCTTCCTCCGCAGGCTGAGGAGGTTCAAAATGGTACGGCAGCTGCACCGCCCTTAATCGTAAGGCTTTACAGAAGGTGGTGAAAACTGCAGAGAACATCACCAGGACGGAGCTGCCATCCATGGAGGACCTTTACTCCCAGCGGCTCAGGAAGAAAGCCCTTAGGATTATAAAAGACCCCCATCACCCCAGCCACAAACTGTTCAGTCTGCTGCCGTCTGGCAGGCGCTACCGCAGCATCCTGACTAAAACCATCAGATTCAGAGACAGCTTCATCCCACAGGCAATAAGACTGTTAAACACCTGAACTGCTGAAACAATTTCATAACATTCATCTGCTACTTAGTCATTATTTATCTATTATCTAATATATCATTCCAATAACTTGTATATAGTCTCGTATTGCACTATTCCACTTCTTTTTTTTCTCACTTTTTTTTAAACTATTTTTCTTTTTGTATTACTTTTAATATAATATATTTTAATATTGTTTTTATATTGTCTGCTTATCTGTATTATTGTGTTGCATTGTTGGAGAAGCCTAAGATTTTCAACGACATAATTACTCTGTAGCTATGTTAGTTTGACAATAAAGAACCTTGAACCTTGAGCTTGGCCAGACACTCCCCACAACAATGAAACAATTCAAAATCACAACATAGCACAATATACTTTTTCCTCCTTTTTTCCATCTTCTTTTAATGTGTTTTTCTATTTGGCTTTGTTATGTATAATGTTATTAGTATTATGTTTGTTGTATACACTTTTGGTATCCACTGTGAAACATTTTAATAAAAAAAGGAAGTGCCAAAAAAAAACTAAAAGATTACATTGGAGAAAATCCGCAATGACCAGGATAAATATTAATATTCCAATTTAGAAAATAGATGTTACAATAAATGTTTATCACTTTTTGGGAATGTGCCGATATAACTTTTTTATAAGCGCAGGCTTATATGTGTAAGACAGATCTGTATTTTTAATCAAGGGAATTTATTTTCTTCTGATATTTTACTTTTAGATATTAGAGTGTCATCAGTTTTTATTCTTGAGCACTTTTAGATTTCAAATGACCTATTTAAAGATCTCATCTATGATGTATAATAGGATATTAAGTATTTTGCTCAGTGTGACAGCTGCTGTGATAGTGCAGTGTTGTTGTGGCTCTGAGGGGAGAGGAAGTGTCCTACTTTACAACCTCTGCTTCCTCACAGGGTGGGATGAGTTTAACAATTCATAAGCAAATTCGCAAATACTTTATTACCCTACTCCATAAGTGTCATTAAGTTGCATTTTAATCACGGACAATTATACCGTGGCTTGCAGAATAAATATGTATTTGTAATACTTTGAGCACCTGAAGTGGCATTTTAAAGCAGCTTAATATCATCCATAGAGTTAGAAAGGATTTTTAAAGTGCCTCAGTTGTGCTTTTAATTCCTCTTTAAATTATATTCACACTATTTCGCCAGAGTGCCTTCAAGTCTTAATTTCACTGTGACGAATAACCTGCAGAAGTTAGTTTGCTTTTT